ATGTTACTTGAAATATGTGTATATGAAATAAAATATTGAAAAAAACTTTTTTTTTTAAATTTTTTTTAAAATTTTCAGCTAGTAGCCAAGGTTCAATTTCTTGTTTACATTCAGTTGAACTTGTACTATAATACAAACTTGATGTGCAATAAATACTAATAAATACTACAAATAAAATGTGTTGGTTACGTACGTAACCATCGTTCCCTGATGGAGGGAACGGAGACGTTATGTCGAACGACATATGGGGTCTCACTTGGGAGGCCAATCATCTCTGAGTTTAAGAGAAAACGCCAATGAAAATTGTCTAGTGGATTTTGCATACCTGAGCCACTCCCCGTGCATACGGTATAAATAGGTGACAGGTGCATCCACTCTTCAGGTTTTACGCTGAGGAGCCGAGAACGTGTCCCGGCAACAGCGAACAGTTCAAGATTGTGGCATAGGGACATAACGTCTCCGTTCCCTCCATCAGTGAACAAGGGTTACGTACGTAACCGAGATGTTCCCTATCTGTCGGTCACTATGAGTTATGTCGAATGACATATGGGGTCCATGGAAAACGCCACAATCTGAACACCATCACAACCCTGTGGCGCTGCAATTGTTGACAAGCCGTGGCGTGCCACAAAAGATACGCTAAGGTCGTAACCTTCCCAAAGCCCCAGCGCAAATTCACTGACCTTGGTACTGAAGGGGACCAACGGTGAGCACATCGCTGCTGGAGAAGGCCATGCTGCTATTCTGTCAACAAAAAAGTTTTTGGAAGGGATTTCAACCTTTAGTGAAAGTTTGCTTTAAATCTTCCATATTTGTTCTTTCAGCCTGGCAGAACGATGGGGAAGCGAGCCTTAAGGGAATAGGTCGCTATTCAGAATTCAGTTCCATTCGACATGTGGAGATGCTAATATGGACTGACCCAGGGGGCAGTACTACATATGGAATGGGTCTCTGAAGCAGGTCCTACTTTAGAGTAGGGATGGAATAACTGCCAGAAGAGACTGACAGAGTGAGTCTGTCAAGGGAAGACATGGGTTTACCGAGAAGGAAACCTTACCGTGGAAGAATATACATATGGGATTACCCGTAGAGAACCAAGTCATATGGGCACCTAGCCAAGTACTGGGGCTGGCCGGGACTCCAGGCATGCAACACCAGTACTGGGCCTGGCGTCAGACTGCTCCGCCAAGACTGGAGGATGCTCAACCAGGGTTCGCCAACCGGGGAACTCTACTGGCAGAAGAAAGGCGCTCGCATTCCCGTGTGAGGGGGAATGACGCAGCAAGCATGACACTGAGACAGATCTTTGCGCCAATTACCTGTTACCCAACACACGGGAAGACACTGGCTCTACATGAAGGTTGCAAAACCTTGCGAAGGTGTTAGGTGTCGCCCAGCCCGCAGCTCGACAGATGTCTGCCTTCGGGTATCTTCTCGGTGTGAAGAACACCAATTCGAGAACAGACTCCACTCCAAAGCATAGGCCTGCCTCGTAAAGGGGGCTCTAGCCTGAGTGATAGTGTCTACCACCGCTGGCGGCAGATCACTTAAGTCTGGCGAGTCCCGTCCAGAAGCCACACATGGAGGTTCCAGAGGTCTGGACGTGGGTGCCATATGGTGCCCAGCCCCTGAGAAAGGAGGTCCTTCCTCAGGGGGATGCGCCAGGGAGGGGCTGTCACGAGGAGCATGAGTTCCAAAAACCAGGTCCGGGTGGGCCAGTAAGGCGCAACCAACAGGACCTGTTCCTCGTCTTCCCTGACCTTGCACAGTGTCTGTGCGAGCAGGCTCACTGGGGGAAATGCATACTTGTGTAGAGCCCGCGGCCAGCTGTGTGCCAGTGCGTTCGTGCCCAGCGGGGCCTTGGTCAGGGAATAGTACAACTGGCAGTGGGAGGACTCGTGGGAAGCAATCAGGTCCACCTGAGCTTCCCTGAATCAACTCCAGATCAGCTGGACTGTCTGGGGATGGAGTCGCCATTCTCCGGGGAAAGTGAGCTGTCGTGAGAGCGCGTCAGCTGCACGATTGAGCTCCCCCGGAATGTGGATGGCACGCAGCGACTTGAGCCGCGTCTGACTCCAGGTGGCGGCGTTTTGTGGGCACAGAGGCACCGCAACCGCTCTCTCCACCTAGGGAATGTCAATGTACCCCCTGCCAGTCGCGAAAGGCAAGGAAGAAAGGCACTGGGGCAGAGCGTGGCTGGGATTCACATCCAGAGCCCAGATACCAATCATCGAGCCTCGAGCTCTGGCCTCTTGGCCATCAGCTCAGCCTCAGACTCCGACTGAGCAGCCGCCGCGGCGGGGGGCTGCTCAGCAGAATCTTCTTCTTCCGAAGACGATAGCCCCTCCTCTGATGCAGCTATAGACATATTATCCTCTTCCGGAGCCCTGAAAGAGACACTGGGTCCGCCGCGGGATGAACCAGCGCCATCTTCCGGGAACTCAACGGGGCTACACTGAGAGGGGCCGGACTTCCATGGGGGCTGACTCGATGGAGCATTCCTGCCTGTGATCCCCAGGGGTGGGGGGCACCCTCAGCGATGGGCAGATGAAGACCTGGCTCGCGGCAGCTTGGTGTTCAAAGAATCACGTCGGGGCAAGATGTGCTTGATGGTCTCCGTCTGCTCAGAGAGCAAAGTCGGTCACTGTACGCAGTTCCTGCATCAACCCCGAGTCAGGACTACCCTCGTGCAGCTTTTTCAGTGCCTTGGCCTGGTGTACCTGCAGGATGGCCATGGTGTGCAGGGCGGAGGCGGCCTGGCCCGCAGCGCAGTAAGCCTTGGCAGCCAGGGCTGACGACAGCTTACAGGCTTTGGACGGGAGGCGCGGACAGTTCCTCCAGATGGCGGCATTTTGCGGGCACAAGTGCACCGCAACCGCACACTCCACCTGGGGAACATCAACGTACCCCCTGGCCACCCCACCATCGAGGGTAGTGCGGAGGGAAGAGCTCAAACGTGACCGGGCGGTGTACGAGGCTTTCCACGTTTTGGTGAACTCTTCATGAACCTCCAGGAAGAAAGGCACTGGGGCAGAGTGTGGCTGGGATTCACGTCCGGAGCCCAGATACCAATCATCGAGCCTCGAGCGCTGGCCTCTTGGCCGTCAACTCAGCCTCAGACTCCGTTGCAGAATCTTCTTCTTCTGAAAACGATAGCCCCTCCTCTGATGTAGCGATAGACATCTTATCCTCTTCCGGAGCCCCGAAAGAGACACTGGGTCTGCCGCGGGATGAACCAGCGCCATCTTCCGGGAGCTCAACGGGGCTACACTGAGTGGGGCCGGACTTCCGTGGGGGCTGATCCGATGGAGCATTCCTGACTGTGATCCCCAGGTCACCCTTGTCCCTAACCAAGCAGGCCGCAGAGTCTTTACGACCTGACGAACTGGGCTTGGTAGAGCCCGTGGGAAGCCTCATTATGAATGAGAGCCATAACCTTAGTGAAGGTTCTCATTGGCCTTTTTTTCTAAAGCTCAGAGGTGATTGCGGCTCCCGAGTGAGACCCCTAACGTCAGTCGATGTAACGTCGAACATGACTGACTGAAAGGGAACAAGCTTTATGCAGTGACTTACAGCCAATGAGCATGACACAGATTGAGAAAATCTTCTCCGAGTTGGTGTTTGGAGAGATGTTTCCAAAGCCCACACTGGTCAGACTACTAAAGGTGAAATAGAGTGCAGTGACGTATTTATCCTGAACGGAGGGTCCTGAGTTGGCATCACTGTCGTTGTAATGCTTCCCCAGTTGGTCGGCCAGGTTATCCAGCCAGCCTGTCTTCATGTAAGGCCTCTCCAAATGACCAATGGCATACCAGATACACGCCAACCAATGAGCAATCAGCACAAAGGTGCACATGAGCAAGAAGAGGACTGCAGCTCCATACTCTGAGTATCGATCTAATTTTCTGGCTACCCGGACCAAGCGCAGCAGACGCGCTGTCTTCAGCAGGCCAATGAGAGTGGCCGTCGTCTGCAGATTGGATGATGGGAGGACAAAGAAAGAATAGTATCAGATAAGTTTCAGTCTGATATGGTCAATTTTTAAATGAATATTAAACACTGTATTAGACAAATAATGTGTTTTAAGTCTTAAGTCTTATGTTTTAAGTCTTTTGCAGTATGCAAAACTGCAAATTTCATACATTTGAATACATGCAGATTAGAGCTGTGCGATAATATAGCTTACATTTTGCAACAATACAAGCAATCAAGCAATTGAGATATGCTATATAGTATATACTGTGTATATTGCCATGAATATACTGTATGTATGCGGATAAAGTTGAACATATTTATATGTGATGATACAAATGAAGAGTTCAGATGCAAAAGCCTCTAAGTGTCAAAATTATCTTCTAAAATTTGCATTTTTCTCAGGCTCCTATGTTTATATTCAGTTATTTCACTTTAATGACAATGAAAAGAACCTATGTATTACATTAATGTGAAATTACTGAACCTACACAAAGGAGTCTGATAAAACTGCTCATGTTAGAAGAAAATTTCAAACTGCACTTAGAGGCTTTTGCATCTGAACTATTCAAATACAAAATGATGAAGAAGACATTTTAATTTGTCCTTGAAGAGCTCACTTCTTGAAAGCCTGATGATGCCATTATGGTGTGGAAGCTTCTTTTCATCACGAAATAAAAAAGGGGGTAATTGCAGCTTTTCTCACAATTCTGACTTTTTTCTCACAATTCGGTGTTTCTCACAATTACTTTTTTCTTGAAATTCTTATGATATAAATGCGCAATTCTGAGAAATAGTCAGAACTGCGATATATAAAATTGCAATTGCGAGAAAAAAGTCAGAATTGTGAGATAAAAAGATACCTTTTCTATTTTTTATTCAGTGGCAGACACAAAAAACAGAATTGTGAGATGTAAACACAGAATTCTGACAAAAAATGTCAGAATTCCGAGATGTAAATAAATACGGAGTTGTAAGAAAAAAAGTCAATTGTGAGATAAAAAGTCACAATTACTAAATTGATCAAATAAAATGTAAAATTGTATTTTTATCATGAACATATTTCCATATTATGATGTAATTTTCTTTTTAAATTATTATTATTGCAATAGTTCCTTAGTTTAAAAGGAGTAACAACATTACCATAAATTATATTGCATATTTAGTTGCATTATGTCAACTAAAATATAGAGAGAGAATATACACAGAGATAAAATTAAGACAAACGATAACTAATATTTCTATATATTTCACCAAAATGTGCTAAAATTGCAAGTGACATTCTGGGAAATGTCTGTATCAAGAATAATAATAATTAAATGTTGGCATCATCTATTTAATGTTAAAGTCATATTTTACACAAATGTAGACGAAGCACAAAAATGGCACTTGCTTTTAGAATGATATTTATATAAAAGTACCTGTTTTCTAGATGAATTCTACAAAATGCTTAAAAAGATCAACCAAACACATCCCTGTACAGCCTTATGGGTATCACAAACGGAACAAACATTCAATAAAAATTCATTTTAACTGTATAAATTGTGCTAACATTTTTATAGAAAATTATTAAAGACCATTCTATTAACGTTACTGGAATAATGTCGTAACTTTGAGAGAATCTCAGCAGAACATTCAGTATATTCCCTGTTGTCAGTGATTGCATTCTGTTTTTATTCACAATTTATACAGTGTCCCAACTTTTTTGAAGTTGGGTTTGTATGCGTGTATCTTCTGATACTCCACAGTTTTGGACAGATCAGGGCCACAGGGGTTATGGATTTTTAGCATTGCACTGAGGGTTCATGTCTCTGTCCTAACGATCTTTCCACAAGTTTTTGGCCACATTTTTTTTTCCATGCGACACCTGCCATGATTATTCAGACATCAAGTGCTCAGTATGATTTATAAATTTTTTTTTTTTTACAACTTTTGGATGTGA